CTCCTTCTTTCTCATGTGGGCATTTATTGTTGTATATTTTCCTCTAGAGACTGCTATAAATGTGTCCCAGAGATTCTGGTACGTTGTGTCTTCGTTCTCATTGGTTTCGAAGAACATCTTTATTTCTGCCTTCATTTCATTGTTTATCCAGTCAACATTCAAGAGCCAGTTCAGTTTCCATGAAGCTGTGCAGTTCTGAGTTAGTTTCTGCATTCTGAGCTCTAACTTGATTGCACTGTGGTCTGAGAGACTGTTGTTTATGATTTCCATTCTTTTGCGTTTGCTGAGGAGTGATTTACTTCTAATTATGTGGTCAATTTTAGAGTAGTTGTGATGTGGTGCTGAGAAGAATGTATATTCCGTGGATTTGGGGTGGAGAGTTCTCTAAATATCTATTAGGTTTGCTTGATCCAGGTCTGAGTTCAAGTCCTGGATATCCTTGTTAATTTTCTGTCTCATTAATCTGTCTAATATTGACAATGGGGTGATAAAGTCTCCTGCTATTATTGTGTGGGAGTCTAAGTCTCTTTGTAAGTCATTAAGAACTTGCCTTATGTATCTGGGTGCTCCTGTATTGGGTGTGTATATATTTAGGATTGTTATCTCTTCTTGTTGCATTGATCCTTTTACCATTATGTAATGTCCCTCTTTGTCTCTTTTAATCTTTGTTGGTTTAAAGTCTATTTTATCAAAGATGAGAATTACAACTCCTGCTTTTTTTTTGCTCTCCATTTGCTTGGTAAATCTTCCTCTATCCCGTTATTTTGAGCCTTTGTGTATCCTTGCATGTGAGATGGGTTTCCTGGATACAGCACACTGATGGGTTTTGGCTTTCTACCCAATTTGCCAGTCTGTGTCTTTTGATTGGGGCATTTAGCCCATTTACATTTAGCATTAATATTGTTATGTGTGAATTTGATCTTGCCATTTTGATGCTAGCTGGCTCTTTTGCCCGTTAGTTGCAGTTTCTTCACTGTGTTGATGCTCTTTACCATTTGGTGTTTTTGGAGTGGCTGGTACTGGTTGTTCCTTTCTATGTTTAGTGCCTCTTTCAGGAGCTCTTGTAAAGCAGACCTCGTGGTGATGAAATCTCTGAGTACTTGCTTGTTCTTAAAGGATTTTATTTTTCCTCCACATTATTCAGTGTTTCAAAATATTGATGTGGAAAAGATGTCTGTTAACACTTTTTAAAAATTATTATTTTAAAATTATTATTATTTTTTAGAGACAGTATTTCTCCATGTTGTCCAGGCTGGTCTTAAACTGCCAGGCTCAAGCAATCATCCCATCTCAGACTCCCAAAATGTTGGGATTACAGGTATGAGCCACCTTGCCTGGCCTTGTTAAGACTCTTTATTGTTAAGAGCAGGCTATAAAACAGCTATTTTTGTAAGGTGGAGGGAGTATACACACACACACGCACACACACACACACACACACACACACACACATATATGTGTATATATATGCAGGTATGCCCTATGTATATGTAAAGAAAAGGTCTAGAAATATATATGACAAACTGTCAAAAATTATGGAATCATGAGTAATTTTTACTTTCTGCATTATACTTTACTTTCTGAATTTTGTATAGAGGGCAGTTTCTTTCTGGAGAAATTTCAAAAAATAGAGAAAAGTATAAAGAATGATATAACAGCTGTCTATTCACAACCCAAAAATGGTCATTATTAGCTCTTTGTTACATTTGTTTCCGTCTTTTTAAATAATATAAATGAAATATTGAAGTTAAAGTAGCTGTTCTCATTCCCCTCTCCTTACCTGAAGAACCAACGGCTACCAGGTATTTAGTGTGTGTACGGAAGAAACACACTAAGGTTGGTCAGGATTCTACAGAGGAAAAAAAAATAGAACAAATGCAACATATATACATTATATATATAATGTATATGCATCAGTATATATAATGTATATACTAATTTACTAATGTTTTATATATAACTGTATATACTAATTTACTAATGTTATATATATTATATATAAGGTATATACTAATTCACCAGTTTTATATATTACATATAATGTATATATATCAGTATATATAATGTATATACGCATGTATATATAATGTATATACTAATTTACTGTTTTATATATAACTGTATATACTAATTTGCTAACGTTATATATATTTAATGTATATACTAATTTACCAGTTTTATATATTACATATCATGTATATACATCAGTGCATATAATGTATATACACATGTATACATAATGTATACACTAATTTACTAATGTTTTATATATAACTGTATATACTAATTTATTAATGTTATATATATTATATATAATGTATATACTAATTTACCAATGTTTTATATATTACATACAATGTATATACATCAGTATATATAATGTGTACACTAATTTACTAATGTTTTATATATATATATATACATATATAATGTCACATGATTATGCAGGCAAGCAAGTCCCTGGAGCTGCAGGGCGAGTTGGCAAGCTGGAGACCCAGGAGAGCTGACCATACAGTTCCAATCTGAAGGTGGCAGGCTCTACACCCAGAAAGAGGTGATGTTTCAGTTTCAGTCCAAAGGCAGGAAAAAAGCCAACGTCCCAGTTTGAAAGCAGGCAGGCAGGAGAAATTCTCTCTTATTCACGGGAGAGCCAGCCTTTTTGTTCTAGTTAGGCCTTCAAGAGATTAGATGAGGCCAACCTCCACCTCCACCAGGGTGAAGGCAATCTGCTGAATTCAGCCTACAAATTCAACTGTTCATCTCATTAAATGACATTCAATTATTCAGACAGCCACAATAATGTTTGACCAAATATCTGGACACTTTATGGCCCAGTCATTTATACATTTGACATATAAAATTAACCACCGCCGTCTTCCCAATCTATTTTTTAAGCCACGTATTGAAGTTTAATTTACATGCAGTTTTAGTACACAGTCCTGTGAGTTCTTCCAATTTATTTTAAACAACAGACACACACACATGCACACATACACACACATATATTCATTAAAATGTAGAATTGTTTGGATATGGTTTTAACATCAGCATAAAAGTAATCACATTTTTATTTTAATCAACATTATGTTTCTGAGACCAGTGCATATTAACATCTATAACTGTAGTATATTCTTTTACTCTGGTATAGTATTGGTTTAAATATATTATCTTTTTTTTTTTCGGTTGTTCTTTTTTTGAGACAGAGTCTTACTCTGCCACCCAAGCTGGAGTGCAGTGGTGCAGTCTTGGCTCACTGCAACCTCTGCCTTCCGGGTTCAAGGGATTCTCCTGCCTTGGCCTCCCAAGTAGCTGGGATTACAGGTTGTGCCATCATACCTCGCTATTTTTTGTATTTTTAGTACAAAAATACATGGAGACAGAGTTTCACCATGTTGGCCAGGCTGGTCTTGAACTCCTGACCTCAAGCCATCTGCCTGTCTCAGCCTTCCCTAAAGTGCTGGGATGTCAGGTGTGGACCACCATGCCTGACCTTAAATAGTCTATCTTTAATTTATTCATTTTATAAATGGACATTTAGGTTGTTTCCAATATTTCTCTACCGCATTCAATTCAGCAATAGTTACCTCAAATGGGGCTTCTTGTGCTACTGTGCCAGAAATGCTTGGTGGAATCTGGAACTGCTAAAAATGGACTTGGCAGCTCACGGAGTATGTACATAGTCAGTTTACCTACATGCTGCCAAACGGCTTCCATCATGGCTGTAACAATTTGTATTCTCACCAGCAATGTCTGAGAATTCCCATTTCCCCACATCCTGGTCAACCCTTGATATTTTTATATTTGTTAACTTTTGTCAATCTGATAGATGGAAAATAGAATCTCGCCCTGGTTTAATTTGCATTGCTCTTATTACTAAAGATGGCTTAATGGTCATTTTGGTTTCCTCTTCCAGGGATTATCCATTTATTTATTTTACTTGTTTCTCCACTGGGCTGCTTGTCTTTTATTTAATAATGGATTCTTTTTATGTTCTGGATAGCGTATGAAGTAAATATCTTCTCTTTGTTTGTCATCCATCTTTTAACCTTGGCCGTAGTCTCTTTTTCTTTATTGCATGTGTCTATGTGTATGTGGATATGTGTCTGATTGAAGAAATATTTTCTACAACCACAGATATTCTCTTGTTTTATTTTCTAAAAAGTTCTAAAGATTTTTGTGTAAGGTGCAATCCAATTTTACTTCATTTTGGGGGTAAGGTGTTATATTAGTTATCTACTGCTACATAACAAATAATCCTCAAATTTAGCAACCTAGAAGCATGAACATTTATTATCTCATAGTATCTGAGGGTCAGGAATCCAGGAACAACACAGTGGGTGGTTCTGGCTCAGCAGTTAAGCTGTGGGGTAGGGCTGCAGTCATTTTGCTATGAACTAAATGTGTCCCCCCAAGTTCGTATGTTGAAGCCTTAATCCCCAGTGTGATGGTATTTGGAGGTGGTGTCTTTGGGCAGTGATTAGGTTTAGGTGAAGTTGTGAGAGTGGGGCCCACATGATGGGGTTAGTGCCCTTATGAAAAGAGGAAGAGACCGGAGTTCTTTCTTTCTCTGCCATGTGAGGACGCAGCCAGTCAAGAGACGGGCCCTCATCAGACACCAGATCTGCTGGCATCTTGATCTTGGACCTCCCAGTCACCAGAACTCTAAGAAACAAATGTCTGTTGCTTAAGACATCCAGTTTGTTGTTGTTGTCTTTTTTTTGAATAGCAACCTGAGCAGACAAAGACACATCTGGAGGCCATGCTGGAAGTTCTGCTTCCAAGATGGCACATTCAGATGGCTGTTGGTGGACAGCCTCAGTTCTTCCACAAGGCTGCCTGAAAGTCCTCATGACCTGGCAGCTGGCTTCCCCCAGAACCAGTGAGTCAAGACAGAGAGAAAGTGTGAGTAAGTAGGAAGCTGCAGTGCCTTTTATGACAGTTTCTAGAGTCACTCACTGTCCCTTCCACTTTATCCTATTCATTAGAAGTGAGTCACCATCTAGCCCACACTCCATGGAAGGGGAATTACACTCCATATCTTAAAGGGAGAAGTAGCAAAGAATTATAGCAGTTGAAATTCATCATAGGTACAAAGTATCATTTGTCCCACCCCTACTGTTAAAAGTCTACCCTTTTCTTAATGATGTATAATAGCACTTCTTTCATCAGGTTTCCACATATGCAGACATGTTTTGGGGCTCTTCGTGCTCCATTGATCGATTTATCTCGTCTTGCACCAACACTACAATGTAACTTTACTACAATGGAAATTTACTACAATGGAACTTTACAAACACTACATTATACTGTAACTTTACACATCTTGGTGGGTGATAGGGCCCTGGTGGTAGGTCCAATGATGAACACACCTCCTGTATACAAACCCTTGTGTAGTCCCCTCCCCTCGAATCTAGGTTGGCCCTATGACTTGTTTTAATCTTAGGATGAACTAGAAGTAATCCTATGTCAGTTTCTGACCTAAACCTTAGGCAAGGGCTGGGTGAGGTGGCTTATCCCTGTAAATCCCAGCACTTTGGGAGGCTGAGGTGGGCAGATCACCTGAGGCCAGGAGTTTGAGACCAGTCTGGCCAACATGGTAAAACCCCATCTTTACTAAAAATACACACACACAAAATTAGCTGGGCATGGTGGCAGGCACCTGTAATCCCAGTTACTAGGTAGGCTGAAGCATGAGAATCACTTGAACCCAGGAGGCGGAGGCTGCAGTGAGCTGAGATTGTGCCACTGCACTCTAGCCTGGGAGATGCAGCAAGCTCTGTCTCCAAAAATAAATAAATAAATAAATAAATAAATAATAAAAGTGAAAAATAAACCTTAGGCAGGCCTTGCACTCTTGAAGCCCTGATCCACCGTGTGAGTAGCCTGGCCTCCCTGCTGGAGAGACCCACAGGAAGAGACGACGGGCCCTGAGACTTCCTAGGCAAAGAGAGGAGCCCAGCCATCTTGGCAACCCAGCCGACTGGGCCTCAGCTAAATGTGGCCACCTGAGTGACAGCCTGCAAGCACAACAGCACTGCACAGCTAAGCCCATTCCAGACTGCAGAATCACGGTGGTTGTATAGAGCCATTAAGTTGTGGGAGGTTTGTTATACACCAATAGATAATTAAAACAACTCTTTTCCCACACTTGTACTTCTTTATTCAGATTACCTTACATTGAAGTATTGATTCATCTGGGGAAAGAGTATTGAGTCTTTTTTTTTTTCCATGTATTCAGCTTTTCTTTTTCCCTTTTCAGCAACTTTTGATACTTTTCCTCTAAATCCCTGAATGTGATTTGCTTACCTTATTCTCAGGATCGATATCATTTCTGTTGCTATTATGAATGCGAATATTTTCTTTACTATGTTTTCTAATTGGTATCAAGGAATGCTATTGATTTTTATATATTGATCTTATATCCAGAGACTTTGCTGAATCCTCTAATATGTTACCTGAAGATTCTCTTGGGTTTCAAGTTGGTGATTTGAAAATAATGACCATATTATCTTTCCTCCTTGATTCTTTTGCCTCTTCTTGTTCTCTTTTCAATGGGAAGAACCCATAGTATGATGTCAGGTAGTAGGAATGATAACGAGTACAAAGGCTTAGGTAGGAATGTGTTTGAAGTTATTATGACAATATTATAGGTTCAAAAAAAATCTTTATCAAGTTAAAATCTCCATCTATTCCAAGTTTGCTAAAAGTTTTACTATTTTGTAAATAAATGGGTGTTGATTTTATTGCCAGCAATTTATGGCTTTTCTCCCTTTAATATCTTCATATTTTAAAGTAACTTAATACAGGTTTGTAATGTTGTCATGGATATTTTTACAGGATAAATCCCATTGAGTTATGATTACTTTTATATGCTGTTCAATTAGATTTGTAAGGTTTTTATTTAGAATTATTATCTTTATATTCATAAATAGTATTGGCTTATAATTTCATTTTGTTATTTTTATTAAAAAATACACGCTTTTGGCTGGGTTCCGTGGCTCATGCCTATAATCCCAGCATTTTGGGAGGCAGAAGTGGATGGATCACAAGGTCAGGAGTTCAAGACCAGCCTGGCCAACATGGTGAAACGCTGTCTCTACGAAAAATACAAAAAAATAACTGGGCATAGTGGCAGGTGCCTGTAATCCCAGCTACTCAGGAGGCTGAGGCAGGAGAATTGCCTGAACTCAGGAGGCGGAGGTTGCGGTGAGCCGAGATCGCGCCATNGGTTGCGGTGAGCCGAGATCGCGCCATTGCACTCCAGCCTGGGTAATTAGTTCCAATGAAAAAAAAAAAAAAAAAAAGATAAACAAAAAATACATACTTTTAAATCTATAGTAACCCCAAAAAATGAGCTAGATAGCTTTTCTTTTTTTTCTATTATCTGGAACCGCTTGCCTAATAAGATTGTCTGTTCTTTGAAGGTTTGGTTAGAGCTGCCTGCAAAGTTGTCAGAACATACTGCCTTTCAGCTAGCCATTCAATTATTTTAATAGCTATTGGCATATTAAGATTTTCTATTTCCTTTTGAGTCAATTGTATAATTTCTACAAAGTTGTCCATTGCAGAAAAGTTTTCAAAATTATAGGCAAAGATTTATTTATAGTATTTTTATCTCAAATATTGTTTTTTGCCTTTTCTATTTTTTCTAATTGGTATTTCCAGAAATTTATCTATTTTATTAATCATTTATTAACAACCTTTTGGTTTATTGTTAATATTTATATTCTTGGTTTTAGATTCTTTTTATGGTGTTATATTTATTTCTCTTTTCTTCTAGTTTTTTCATTCTAGATTCTTTATTATTGTTTCTTTCTAGATCATTAAGTTGAATGCTTAATTCCTTAAATTTCAAATTTCTTTTGTTATCTAAGAAATGAATTTAAGCTCCAAATTTCCCCTTGGGTATAATTTTAGCTGTACCTCATATGTTTTTACATGCGGGCTTTTATTGTGTTTCATTTCTAAATGTTTTCCATTTCATCACGATTTATTTGCTAATCTAGAAATTGCTTAAAATCATATGTTTAGTTGTCAAATTTATGGGGTGAGGGGATACGTTCCGACCATTGGTTTCTATTTTCAGTGCACTGTGGTGAAAGAACATGACCTACTGTCCTCATTCCTTTGGAATTTGTGATTTCCTTTGTGGCCCAATAAATTGTCAAATGTGTAAATGTTCTGGGTGGGCTTATAAAAAATATGTATTCTTTGTTGGGTAAAGATTTTTTCTAAATATCTATTATTATTTCTAAATGCAATGTAAATTTATTGTTTGGAAAAGAGGAGGAAGAGTCTACATCTCAGGAATCTAGTCTTATCAGAAAGGGAAGAAGGATTGCAGAAGCAGAACTTGAATAATATCCTGGGAAACCAAGGGAGTTAATGGTTTGCAGTGTGTGTGTGTGTGTGTGTGTGTGTGTGCGCGTGTGTTGTGAAAGAGAAACAGAGAGGAGGCTTCCATAGACGGCAGCTTACCTCTGTGATTGCCCTTCTCACACACTATATTGCAGTTATCTGTTTGCTGGTTTGATGCACAAAGCCATGAGCTCCTTAAGGGACAGCCGAAGGATGGAGCCTTTGGTTCTGTCTTCTCATTACCTATGGCTCTCAGTGAGCATCTCCAGGACTCAAACACAGCAGGCAGTAAATGAACGGGAAGTGGAATGAATGTAAGGCCTTTGGTCAGCTGGTATAGATGTACCAGGTATGATTGTGCTGCTTGGTAAAATATTCAGCTGCTGCCCTGAGATTTGAGTGCTGCTTTGCCACCCAGTGCCTTGACCTCTCCCCAAGATCCCCTAAGCCTTATTGTGATTTAGTGAGTGAAAGTGTTGAGGCTTGGTCTAGCAAGAAACCTCCAGGACTCTGCTCCAGAAATATAGATATTTATTCTGATTGTTTGGTGCCCATGGCATGCCAGTTGTTAAATATTTTTTTCTATAATTTCTGACTGAAGAAATGGAGAAGTGAATGGATGAATGGGCTTGCTTTCCTTCCACTCCTTTTTTGCTGAGTTGTGTGATGTGTTCTCTCTGCCATCCTTCTCCCAGGCTTCACTTTGGCCCCGGTTACTTCCATCTAAAAACAGACCCAGTGTCTCTCAGCCTTTTGAGTGGCTCTCCTTTGGACCTTGTAATTACAAGGTTACAGCCTACATATGGTGTTACTGCCTAGATACTTCTAGGTCAAGTGATCTATCTTGGATTCTGCATGTTGCGTCTATTCATGAACAGGTGAGATGTTTGAAATGGAGCATGTATTGTTCTATACATCTACCCTTTAATCCAGAAACAAAGGGCTCGAAATAGTGCTCTTAATTTAAATTGCAGGGCCCATGTCATTCTCTTCTCTCAATTGCAAATTAAACATTTAAATAGTATTTACTTTCTGCCAGACTGTTATAAAGGTTATTTTTCTGGTGCGCTAAATCTGTGTGTGTAAGCAGCATGTTAATGACTTGGGATGCTAAATAGTTTTCCTATGTTCTTATTGATCTGCCTGGAAAGGGCACCATACTTGCCATCTGTTTATTTATAGCACCGTTGAATCATCTGCCCTACACACCTTAACTGGCTGACTGAGGCAGCAGAAACGTATACTGAACAGCATTACTCCAGAGAAGTTATATGCATGAAGAAGCCAAGCACCCTGAGACCTTCACACACCAAAAAGAAAAGTTCTGTATTTTGCACCGAAGCTTCTGTGATGCCTAAACCTCTGTACATGTAAGCCCATTCCCATTCTCCAAGAGCCATGGATTGGCTGGTGGTGAGTCAGAGTGTCTAGGTTTCTCTTGGCCTGGTGGGTGACACAGATAAGGAATGTGTTGCAGTATAACCTACTTGAGTCAACTTTTATTTTTGGCATTTCAGGGGACTAGTAACTAGCTAGTTACTAGGTCTTGACGAGTTCACGTACTCAGAATGGGAGAGGAAAGGGATGCTTAAAGATCTGACCAGAACTGTTAGTTCACTCACACATTTAAATGGTTTCTTTTCTTCATCATGATTGTAAGGAAAAACAAGAAATGTAGACAAAGGTGTATTACTTTTCATTTTATAGGCTATTTATTCTTAAAAATTTATAGTTGTATGCACAAGAATGTGAATTACTTAATGCCACTGTACAGTTAAAATAATTTAAATGGTAGCTTTTGTGTTATGTCTATTTTTACCATAACACAAAGATAAAAATATGTAGATGTGATCATAATATATATACAATATTGATTGGCCTTGTAAATCCACAGTCATGCTATAAGCGTTTTGTCATGCTATTACATGACATTAGAAAATGTTTTCATGATGTGTGGCTAATTTATTCATTCAGTAAGTATTTATTATGTATTAGCGAGGTACCAAGCACTGTTTTAGGCCCTGGGATATTGCAAGAAATAAACCAATAAGATCCCTTGCCCCAAAAGGCTTATATTCCAGCCAGGGGCCAAAGAAGCAAACTCAAAGAAGATTGTGGTAAGTGCTATGAATGGAATTAAACAGGGTGGTGTTGGAGAGCAGCAGCAGGGGTTTGGGAAGGATAGCTACCTCGATAGGGTGGGAAGGATGCAACATGTGAATTGAGCCCAAATGGCCTCTGCAGCCAGGAGAATGAAGGACTGAGGGAAAAGCATTTCTCAGAAGAGAAAACAGAAAGTCCAGGTGTCCTGAGACAGGAAAGAGCCAGGGAAGACTGAGAAATCAAGGCAGGTGAGTGTGACTGATGCGGAATGTGCATCAGGTCAAGAGTGGGTGGCAGCAGAAGTGCAGAGCACAGCCGCCTGGGTCATGCTCAGGGGCTTAGATGGCATCGCCAGCACAGGGCAGGGAGCGGGGCGGACTCTAAACAAGTCAGTTTCATGAGAGACGCTTTTGAAAGCTCTGTGATTATCTATGGATTGCAAGAGTCAAGAGAGGGACAGTGGGTCCTTTTAGAAGGCTACTGTGGTAGTCCAAGGCAGAGATTATGGTGGCCGATACTGTCCCGTGCCTCTGTCCCTGAGGAGCAGCACCACCAGCACAGTATTGCTTTTCCTGACCCGGATGGCAGCTCTAGTGACCCCCTGCTTAGGGAGTCTGTGGACCTGCATTAGGGGAAGGGGAATTAAGTGTGCTTCGCTTCCCTACAGGGACCAAGTGCTTGTAGGGGAAAATAGGGGCTGTGGTATCTAATGTAAGTTCAAGGGCAGCATGCTCAGTGGTCACATGCTCTGATTTTGAAGTCAGGTGACTTAGTCCAAATGCTTGCCTTCATGACCTCAGGGAAATTACTTAACTTTAAAAAATCTATCGGTTTCTTTATTTGTAATAATGGGGATAATGGTATCCTCCCGAAACAACTAAACATAAATATATGTAAAGGGCTTAGCTTTAAAAAAAAAAATTGGGCCTGGTATGTTGGCTCATCCCTGTAATCCCAAAACTTTGCAAGGCCACAGCGGGAGGATCACTTGAGGCCAGGAGTTCGAGACCAGCCTGGGCAACATAGTGAGCTCCCATCTCTTGGAAAATAAAAGTGTTAACTTAGTGCGTCATGTATAATGAACACTTAGTAAGTGGCACTTATTATTAACAACAGAAAGAACAAAGAGTTTAATGTAATAATGATGAATGGGTACTTTTAAAACTCTCCTGATGAAAACTAGTTCTGGAATATGTCTCAGTGCTATGAATATCAGACCTGTTTATAGACCTGCTCAAAGATCTTCAGCAACTATAGCTATTCAAGTTTTTTCAACCTGACAAAGCTATCATTCCACGAAGAGCAAAAGTATTTCATTCCACAGATATTAAGATTTATAAGAACACTGGGCATTTACGGACAGTCAGCTAAAAAGAACCAAAGCCTGTTTCTACTTTGTGTCATAAAGAACAATAAATAAATCTAACTAAAGAGCAAAACTTAGAAAGTAAGACTTCATCTTACTTTCTAAAATGTCTGTAATATGAACAAATGACTTTTATAGTGAAAAATACTTTAAATTATCATTAAACGGAATTAATATGTGAAGAAATTCCATTTTACTATTATCTTAGAGATAGGAATAAATTATTTAATTCATTGTATTATTACTATTATTATTATTATTTGAGACAGGGTCTTGCTGTGTCTCCCAAGCTGGAGTGCAGTCAGTCATAGCTAATACAACCTGCAGCTTCTGGGATCATGCAATCCTCCTGCCTCAGCCTCTCAAGTAGCTGGGATTACAGGCACGCACACCATTCCTGGCTAATTTGAAAAAAGCTTTAGTAAAGATAGGATCTTGCTTTGTTGCCCAGGCTGGAGATTTATTGTCAATAACATTCAAATGGGCCTAAAATCTTCACACAAATGCAAATAGCAGCGGCTGGCAGCTAAATCATGGATAGAGGGGAAATAACATTTTAGGTTTATTTTCAGAACTGTTTTAAAATGTCAAAACCTCAGGTTGTGTTCCAGGTTGGGACTCTGGATCCATGGTTTAAGAGGGTTTCGTATGAAGAACCTGAAGAATAAGACTCGTCTGTGGGGACCATGTCCACAGGCACTGTGTATGCAAAGGTTCTGTATCATCAGAAGCTCAAAATAGATGCATGCTCAGAGTAATCCTTTCATGCCCAGGACGGATGAAGCAAGACCTGCCTAACTAGTGAGGACACAAGTGCACGCCCAGCTTCTCCACTAGCCCCAAGCTGAGAAATCACACCAATAATTTTTTTACTTTTCTCCCATGTCCAATTAGCTGCCAGGCCCAGGAGACTTCATCTTCTTGTTATCTCATGATATCTCTGCATGGGTATCTTCATTCCCATAGCTGCCACCTTTCTTAGTCCTCTTTCCCTCACTCTGGGGTCCCTGCAGTGGGCTCCCCACAGGGCTGGGTCTAGTGGCCCCTCACAAGCCACCCTCTGTACTGGAGGCTGAGTGATGGCTCTAGAACACCAATCTGATTATTCACTCTCCCCACCAAGTTCTGGCCTCCACACACACCTTTCCACCTTGAGTTAGCCTGTTCATGCTTTCCTCTGTCTAGAATATTCCCCTCTCTTTCTTCTGGCTAACTCCAGCAAGTCTTTCAAAACCTGGGCCCAGCTCACTTCTTTCTCAGTGTGTGTCTTCGCAATCTTCCCATTCAGATTTCAGAGCCCTCCTCTGCTCCCAAATCAACCCATGTGGACCAGTCTCACGGGTGCACCATGCCGTGTTGCCATGGTCAATTCATGTCATCAACCAATGGGCTGCCAGGCATAAGCAACCTGGGGCAGGGGCTCTGTCCTCCTCCACCTTGCATCTCCCTTGCAAGCGTCCTTCTTGCACGTGGCACTTGGCACTGTTCTGATGACTTTATAAATATTAACTCATAACAATACATGGTTGTTAGAAGAATGTGCAAGCATCCATTCAACAAATGGGTATTGGATATCTAGCAGGTGCCAGGTACAATTTTAGGTGCTGGAGATTCAGAAGTGAATGAGACACCCAAACTTCTTATCTCAATGAGTTTGTAACCTGTCAAGGTAAATGAATGATAAAAGATAGACAGGCATATAATATAATGTGAGGCAGTGACAGGAGCAATGAAGAAAAATAAAGCTGGACAAAGGGATGAAATATGACAGAGGTGTCATTTTAGGTGAGATGGTCAGGCCAGGCAGTCTGAGCAGAGGCTTGAGCAAAGTGAGAGGAGCCTCGTGTGTGTGTGTGTGTGTGTGTGTGTGTGTGTGTGTGTGTGTGTGTGTCAGGGGGAAAGAATGGGGTGTTAGGCAAATAAAACAGCATGTGCAAAGGCCCTGAGGCAAGAACAAACTCAGTCTGTAAAGAGCACAGCAGAGAGGCCAGAGTGCTGGGATGCAGGGTATGGGGTGGTATGCCATAGGCTATGAGATGCAAGGGGCTGTGGGTTAGGCCAGGTAGAGTCTTTCAGGCATGCTGAGGCCTTTGGAGTTTATTCTAAGTGTGCTGGGTATTCACTGGCAGGTGCCAAGCATAATGGGACATAATTCTACTCATCTTCTATGAGATATATGAACGATTGGGGGCATCACTGGAAGCAGGTAGACCAGTAAGGATGGTGGTCTGACAGTGATGATGGTGACTTGGACTCTTCCATCCTGCCAGGGAGATGTGGGAAGACTCTGGGTGCATTCTGCGAGGGGATCAGACAGGATTTGCTGATGGCTGGCTATGAAGGATATGAGGACCAGATGACTGCAAGACTTTTAGCCAACTGGTGAACTGGTGATGCTGCTTATTGACGAGGGAGGAATGGCTTGAGAGTAAGCTTGGAAGTGGAGTGTTCTGTTTTAAGCCTTTAAGTTAGACTTGCTAGCCGGACGTAGTTTTGCCTTCTATGAAATGGGGATAATAATGTTTATTTACAGATTTTAGTAAGAATAAAGTGTG